AAGGCCTCAGTCACAGAATTTAAGCTCTCTCAGTTCCCTGTGTTCACTTTCTCCTTTCTCTATTCAGTTGGAATTTGATGGGCTTTGATACAAACTCTACTTGATATCCACTGTTGCCTAAGAGGACTGATTTCCCCTTAAATTCACGGTGAATAAATTCCAGGTAGTTGAGTAATACCTGCCAATCACATTAGTATATTTAGTTAATGACTCTTAGGCAACTATTTCCTACATTCTGTTCCCTCTTCAAGTCTCCAGTACCTCTTGACTTTTGTAACAATGACCTATTGCTTCCTATTTTACTGTGAAAACAAAAGAAAATGAGAATCTACATTCTTACATCTTCATCCAGTACTACAAATTGTACATTTGAGCTTCCCCTCCAGGTCACTGTCTTCAAAAATCTTTCCCAGATCAGTAAATCGTGATTCTGAAAACCCCAAGGGCTCCTCACAAAAGCCTTCAAGTCATCCTTGGTGCTCCCCTTTATTTTGAACCCCAAGTCAAATTTGTCAGTAATTGTTGATCGCCCTGTGTTCAAAATATGTTTATCACTAGATGACTGTTGGCTTTTTTGTTTGTTTTATTTTGACCAATCATGCTGTGGCATAATTTTTCTATTTTCTCTTACTCAATGAAATTGATGTCAATTTTTTTAACCTTATGATCTCTTCTCATCTGACAACCAACATGATTCCCAAGTCAAGCCATATCCCATCTTTGTACAGAACTAATGTATGTCCAAGTCACTAACCAAAAAGCAAACCTGCGGGGGTTCTCTACAGAATGTGGTCCCCTCTTCTGTATCTAATTCATCTTCTCTACCATGCTCCCTTGACTTACTCTACTTCAAAGACCTCCTTGCTCTTCCTCAAACTCCTTCTGCTCAAACTACCAGTCTCAGGAATTTTAATTTCCATTTCTTTTGTCCAGGAATTGTCTGTACAGCTCATGCCTGTCTTACCTGTAACTAAAAAATAAACAAAGAACAGCAAGATGATTCAATAGGTAAAAAGGTACTTGCCACCAAGTCTGAAAACCTCAGTTAGTTCTATGGGACACACAGTGGAAGGAACAAATCCCTCAAATAGTTCACACACACACACACACACACACACATACACACACACACAAAAGGTAAAATTAATTTGTGTTTGTTTGTGAGTGTATACCTTTAAACACAGTAGATATGACTAGGTGGTAAAAAAATTAATCTCCTCATAAGGCTTGTTCCCATGCATCTTCTGCCTCAAAAGCAAGCCCACTCTTCTAAGGTATCTATAAAAGTATGCAGATAGGCTGGGAAAAGAACTCCAAAAACATGAAAATTCTATTTATCTTAGAAAATGAGTTCACTGGTGAAATCAGATTTCAACTTTCTATTGAGAAGCCAGCATTTCAATTCTTTGTTCAGAATTGCTTTGGTTATTCTGAATTTTTTTTGTGCTTCCAGATGAAATTTAAGGGTTTTTTTTTTTTATTTACGTGAAGAATCTAGTAGGAATTGTGTTCTAGTAGGATGGCCATTTTTACAATAGCAATCCTAGTTCTTAGGTACGGGAGGTCTTTCCCTCTTCTTACACTTCTTCTATGTCTTAAAGTTCTTTTTATTCTAGTTCTTTCTTAATTAGATTTATTCCAAGATTTCTTCTAGATTCATATCAATGAGATCTTTTCCTAATTGCTAATTTCTCAGCATGTATAAAAGCTACTGACTTTTATAATTATATTAATTATATATATATATATATAATTATATTAATTGTATATCCTGTTACTTTTCTGAATATACTTAGCAGTTGTAGAAATTATCCAGTGGAGTCATTAGGGTGTTTTATGTATAGAATCATATCATCTACAAATAAGTAGAGTTTTGTCTCTTCCCTATTACAACCATTTTATCTCTCTTTCTTTTGTACTGAGAACATTTAAGATCTTCTGTTTTATCAAATTTAAAACACACAGTACATTATTATAAATATAGCCACCACTCTGTCCACTTATTCTCTAGAACTTACGCATCCCGCAAAACTCAAACTCTGGGCTAGCTACAATTTCTAGTGTATGTAGTGATGTTTTCTGACATTCTGTCACTTTTTCTGTTAAAGCTGTATCATTTTAAACTTATCATATAATTTAAGAGAAAACAAAATGACTGGCATAATTAAGAAGGATCAATACTCTTTTGTATCTATGGTTTTAGGCGGAATTCACTCTTTCCCATATCCCCAAATGACTGTGTCCTTATTGTCTCTATTACACCAAGCTCTTTACATCAGAAACAATAAATAAATAAACAAGTAAGCCAAGTGACAAATCTGAAGATTGTCCTCTACAATAAGTCCTATCGCAATCACTGCCTTTGGAATACTAAATCTTCATTAAACTAATTTGCAAAGCAAGAAACACTCTAAAAAATTATGAAACTGGAGAGGTAACCAATTGTATCTTTCCCTTGTGAAAGCATGAAAAGATGTTATGACTCACCACATACACTTACAGATTTTAATAATAAGACCTGTATCACGGCTATTAGAGAAATTGAGTGATTTGAAGTTGTCGAATGCAACCAGTGGAGTGACAAATTTACATGCAATAGGAAGTTCCTTTCATGTGTGTTTATGAGCAATTTTTTCCTACACAAAATCATAATTTCCCCCTGAGAAATCATGTCATTGTCACTGAGCAGCAAAATGTGAAATAACAGAAAGGAATGTGACTGGGGTACAGCCACTTGCCATCAAAGTGGCATATTCTCTGCATCTTTTTCTAGAGGTAACCAACTCAAGGAGTGAGTAGGCAAATTAGAAGCATAGAGAGATGTCGCACAATGGCTTTCCCGTGGTCCTTTCTCAGGAAACTAGCTCCATGCAATGAGGAAGAGCAGAGAGGATGACAACGACAATGAGAAAGTTTATTCTTCATTATTCAGTGCCTTCCCATTGACTGTAGGATGAAGCTGAGTCTCCTCAGACAGCTGTGTAAGTCTCCCTCGCGCTTCCACACTCTAGGGAAAGTTAGAAGGTAGGATAAGAAATGTATTCAGAGGCCACATGAATCTTAACGTTGGTTTTTTTTTATCAAGAATCAGTGATTTATAATTTATTGTTGTCTATATTCATACCATGCAGAAAAACACCTATCTCATCAAGAATGTCTTAAAGGAGGTAAACAAATACAACAGAGAAAAAGAGTTTGTAAAAATAGCCAAAGAAATATGCAGAAATTAAAAACAAATGTTAATATCTCATCATTGGACTTATTAAGCTAGCATTAAAAGTTATGTCACAATAGAAAAATATCTGTAGAACATTTATAAAATAAATGATAACTAAAATATGTAATTGGAAGCATTTTTCAGCAAGAATGAATGAAAAATAAATGAAAATTTTTCTTGATGCTAGAATATTAAATAGTTTATCACTGATAGATCTACAAAAAGGAAACCTCTGTAGATGTTTCTCAAATAACAAATTTAGGACAAAAAAATTGTGAACCCACAATATGGACTCCAATATATTAAAGTTCTGTAATGCCTAAGAAAGCTCTTTATAGATATTAACTAATACTTATGCATTTCTTATATTAAACGAAAATACTATTTTGCAAGGTTTTAGAGCAACATTATGCCTTTCCCTTTAGTTCTATACATGTTGATTTTCCCGAGAAGCCTGAAAAAACACTACAAAATACCATGATCTTTTTTTTATTATTATTATTTCCTACATGGCCACTTTTTCCTGTGGTGCTTTTACGTTGGTTTTGTCTTTGGATGAAGTGAATTCTGAACAAAGACCAACATGAGGTACCAGATGATATATTCTCACTCATTCTCCTCCAATGCTCTCCGTATTTCTAGCAAGCAAGCCTACTCACATTGTGTAGCCTCCTCACTTATATTCTTGCCCCTCACAACCTCATTTTACCTTAACACCCCCTAGAAGGTTCTTTAATCATAAAGTCTCCCCAGTTCCTCCAACAAGTTCTGAATCTCTCCCTTGCGCTATCACTGTAAATACACAAAGCATTTGACTCAGGCAATAGGTAAGGCTTTTGTGTTTTCTGCCTAACATAAACTATATGAACCATCTGATAAAATCATAGATGTTTTGGTTTAAGCCACTGCTCATTGCAAACCTTTAAATTCATTGGTGACGTTTTGTACAGGAACATAAGCAGCTACCTCTCCTACAAAAGAGGCCCTGGTCCCTCCAAAACCTTGTCAGCTCAGTTTCTGGCGCTCAACATGCCGCAGCTCTCTGCCACCCACAATTTGGCAGGTACTTCAAATTGTGCCCTCAAATCAAGGTCCTCATGATTAGTGAAGACTCCTACCATCACCCACATCCACCTACCCTGAAAGCATGGCGCATGAGAGTATTTAGATTCAAAAATCAATATTAATATCTCAACTATTTTCCCCAACAGAATTGCTTGAGTATCAATACATCCCAACCCTACAACTGGAATTACCCCTTTTTAAATGGACAGTAAAGAAACTCCTTGTCTGCCATTTTCTCTTGAATTGAGTTAGCATCTTTGTTACCCTTTTTTACTTGGCACCACCAATGATTGAATCTAGGACCTTCTATCTAAAGCCTACCACAGCGATACCACACCTGGCACTTGATTCTATTTCTTATTTTCTGGCAGAATCACATGAAGTTGTTGAGACTAGTTTTGCATCTACTCTGCGGCCAAGGCAGGCTTTGAATTTTCAGTCTTCCTAACGAGGCTTCCTAAAAAGCTGAGGTTACAAACATGTGCCACAGAGCCCATATTTTTTTTTCACAGATTCTTAAGGCATGGAGGCCCTATAGTTTTGTGAGCTCCCTCTGCTCCCCATCCACCTGTTCTTGCTCAACAAAAGTCCTCTTTGTGAATAAACCAGGATCTTTCATTTCTCTTAGATTTTAGCTGCAAATAAGATCTTTTTAAAAAGAAAAAAGAAAAGAAAAAAGACCAAAACTAACCTTCATTCTCCACTTCTGTTGTAACAGGATTTTGTGCCATTGTATCAGGACTTTGAGAATTTTTATAAAAGGAACCTTTACATGAGAATCAGAGACAGCTGGAATCAGACGGTTTGCAGTGTCCCAGGGCCCCACATTGACATAATGGAGAAAGTGTCTGATGATTATAACTGGACATTCAGGTGAGGCAGCCAGCTGGGAGGGCTTGGCGGGGAAACACTCAGGTAAACTCTAGCATGGACACAAGTTGCAGAACTGAAATAGCTAAGGTGTGGATGAGGCTCATCTTCATCTGCTCATCTCTTTGCAAGTTCTCATGATATGGTGGAAGAAAAAAGGATTAAATTGCCAAGCGGGCTTTCTTTACATTGTAATTAAGGTTATACAGGTGCACAGCATAGACCGTCAACCTGAAAGAGCCTTTGTCAACTTCCTTGTCAAATTGTACCTTTCTGCTTTCTCAAGGATGGACTCGGTGATGACTGTGACCTTTTTTACTTTAGAACGTTCTGCAGCACTTTCAACCAGTCATAAAATCAGCCATTCAGGGAAAACCAGTGCCTAGTAATACACTGGGTACCAGGACATTTCACTAATGTTGTGCCTCACCTTACTATCCGGTTATATTCCTCAAAAAAAAAAAAAAAAAAAAAAAAAAAAAAAAAAAAAAAAAAAAAAAAAAAAAAAAAAACACAACAGCATACATTAAAATGGGAAAGACAGTGTCAGGCTTGGGCAAACTGAAGTCTTTGAGGCAGGAGAATATCAAATAAGATAGTACTGTGTGTTCACTTGCTTATCTCCCTATAGACACACTGGAAAAGTTATTAAAGATGTTATCAACATGGGCTCCTACAACTATCTTGGGCTTGCAGTCAAATACGATGAGTCAATGAAGACGGTAAAGGATACTTTAGAAAAGTATGGTGTAGGTGTAGCCAGCACCAGACATGAAATGGGTAAGTACAGGATTTTGTCCTGTCAAGTTTCAGCGTCATGGTACTACATATCAAATCATGATTGTGTTGATGTTGTATACCTGAAAGAAATGTGATGAAATTGAAGACAGAAGAAGGGGGGGGGGAAGAAAGATGAGAAAGGCAAGAATGAGGAGGAGGAGGAGGAGGAGGAGGAGGAGGAGGAGGACAAAAAGGAGGGGGAGAAGAAGGGATATAAGCATCTTTTTAAAAATGTCAGTCATCCTGTTCTTGTCACACAGTTTTTCATGTCTCCTTGAGGACATCCTTTTTTTTTTCTTTACCCTCATTTTTTTCCTAATGGCATTCATCACTGATTGAAGTAATCTTGCTGTTGCATTATATATGCATATATGAATGTTTCTACTACTCAGATGGAAATAGCCTGAGCAGAGGGAATGCTATGCTAACTAAATGAATGAATGAACGAATGAATGAATGATAAATTATTGAATATACAAAATGGAGCACACTATTTTCTTCTCTTGTGGAAAAGAAAATAACTTTTTTTTCTCATAGAAAGAGTAAAATTTATGGGAAAGAGATGACACTTCAGATACTTGCTTTTTAAAAAAATTCTTTACAACTCTTCACCGTGTTTTTTATTATGTAGCATTTCTTTTATTTATTTTATTCTTTAAGAATTCCTGTGCTCTGAGAAGCCTGTGTGGTACTATTCCCATATTCTGAAGACAAAAATCTCAGGATTATGGGATCTTCTGTGGTGGTCCCTGAGTTAAGACTTAGGGGAGGGATGTGATACCGATGAACCTTTTGTGGTTGAGCATGCTCTTTGAATACTTTCGAGTTTTTACATCAGTTCCCATCCACTGATGGTTTACCATGAGGCTAGAGAGCTGCACTGATCTGTAAGTAGAAAGATATGAATTTGTGTGCAGTTTTATACTAGATCCATTTAGCAAAAATAATAATAGTAGATTGACCTCGGAGGCTGAAAACTCTTCCTGGCCAAATTTCATGTGAGGCTTGTATTTCCTGCTACGAAAAAAGCCTTAAGTCCAAGCAGAAAGCATTCACTATTTAACCTATGAGTGTAGCTTGCTGCCCCAGTCCATATTACAGTTCTCAGGGTTCACAGTTGGGTAAGATTGCTGATGACTTTTCCTCTGGCAGCCTGCATAGCACCTTCCAGTACTGGGAGAGATAGCCAGCAGAAAGGAGGCTTCCTGGTCATTACCAAATTGATTTCTCTATCTCCTTTGAGCAATATATGTATTGTCTTCAGCAATAGTAGGCAACCAAGAGCAACGACAACAGATTGTATTGTTTTACGGTTTCCAGATCACCTTTGACCAGCAACACATAAGGATTTATCACAAATCTGGCTGGCACAAGAATTTTTATTTGGCATCCTGTTGCTTCTGGGATGAATATAATTCCCTAAGCTGGATAACTCCAACAACTAAACTTTTTCATATGAATATATATATATATATGATGCTTATGAAATAATAGGCTTTTCCAAGCATTTTCAACCTTCAGTGTTAGATTTTATCCACAAATACAGTAAATATTTGGCTCAATCTCCAGAGCCAATCATGGTTACTCATATTACTTAACAAGGGATTCTTATTAATTTCCATTTGGCATTAGAGATAGGGATGTAAATGAAGTAGCACTGTGTCCTGGGACAGAGGCAGTTCGACTCCACTTAGACCTGAGATACCCATAATGTTTTGTTTGATGATGTATCAAACACTAGAGGAACACCTCCAGCTTGTAGAAACACAGAGGGATTTCTTGGGATGTTTCTTCAAGAGCTGGTGACACTAGTGCTAGGGTTGAAGTCAGAAGGCAGTCATGAAGAACACCTCCACTCAGTAAGAGAGAATATCTCTTCATCGTAGCAGACAGAAACCAAAGGAAAAAGGCTGGACACAGACAATGATTTGCTGCCAGAGGAAGCCACCCACAGACAGATCCCTGGTTGTGCAGATCAGCAAATGCAGAGAAATTAGGCAGGACTAAGTTTCGTTTGGTGTTCTTTCTCCATACCAATAAGTGGAGAAACAGATGGAGAAAGAATACTGCTCTTAGTGTTCTATAGAATCTGTATTAGTAATGTATATCATATATTATATCAGATATAATATATCTTAATAACCTATATTCTTATACTGTTTCGTACCCCCAAATCTCTTCAATTCATCTATCTGAGTCAAGTTGTAGGACAGAAATTTTAACAGTTTTTAAGCAAATAATTAAAGGTCCAAGGATAAGATATCTATAGTAATCATACAAAAACAGGATGAAATATGAACTGAGGCTATCAGTGATGGAGTAAATAAATTATAGGGATTAACTGAAATCATTCTGCAACATAAAAAACAATATTAACATGCAAGAATTACAAATATCATTGTTCTGAGAGCCATCCATCTAAAAAATTTTCAAGTAACTGGATTGGAAAATATGTTTTATAGTCCTAAGAAAATGTTTAATGTTGTAAACTGAGTAACAGCAGATCTGCCCCATAAGTGAAAAAGACATATTTTGCATTTCTAGTGAGTTCAAATTGCTTTGGACACTCTAAGGACTGCCGGACACTAGATAGCATGACTGACTTTCTCAAAGAACAGGGATCTTTGGGACAAACACATATGCCTGGAAGATGATATCTGTCAATGGAAAATGACAAGCAGCTAAGAGACACCCAGAAAATCAACGAAGTGAGTCAGTTTTGATTATTGAACATATCCTGACACATGTTGCTCCCCCATCTTGAAGCCAAGGAAAGGTTACGTTAGTAGAAGTCATGGAGAAGCATTTATTTCATTTCTCTTCACTTCCCACACTAGCTCCACAAAAATGTGTGATTTCTCTCTCGTCTTTCTTCCCCTGCACACACAAAGGTGACAACCGGATGTACGGTAGAAGTACATCGTTTGCACAAAACCGCCAAACCCTATGCACTGATGCACCCAATAGCGCTAATAGTCACGAAGACCATTAGAGCACTATTAAGTGCTCTAACTCACAAGTTCGCAACAGAGACAATGCTTAGAATGCCACAGGCATTGCCTATGCTAACAAGTGCTCATCTCACCTTAGTGATCTGTCCACTCTTGAAAAGAAAATAAAAAGCAAACCACCTGTTTAGTTTAAGCACATGCCCACTTGAGGACATCCCTTCAACTTTAATTGCAGCTTTCGGTGTAGACACGAATGCTTTCATTTTTCAGATCTTCGGAATGAACGCATCTTTTTGACACAGGATTCCACAGGAAAGGATGCACTGGGGACACATTTCACACCTAAAGGTTCAGCTGCGGTGCTAGCATTACCAGTAATGTGCAACGTGCTGAAATCTGTGTTCAGTTCAGATTCCCCTTAACCATTAGCATGTAAATACTCTATCCTGCCCCTGTAACAAAGCTTCCTGACCAGTCCTTGTTCTTGAATTCCAGTTATCAAGTAATCTTATGCTTCTTGCCAAGGGGGTTGAAGCTTCATATAGGAAATGTGTAGTTTCATTAATTCAAGCTTCTGAAGAAAAGACCAGCTTGGAATAGCAATATGTCTAAATTCAAACATATTTTAAAAAATAAAGCGTCAGCTATTCAAGTTTCCCTGGGAATAAGTAGTTTCTAATGAATTTATATCAAGTGGATATCATGGGTTTTTTTTTTTTTTTTTTTGATTTTTCAAGNTTTTTTTTTTTTTTTTGGTTCCTGTCCTGGAACTAGCTCTTGTAGATGGCTGGCCTCGAACTCACAGAAATCCGTCTGCCTCTGCCTCCCGAGTGCTGGGATTAAAGGCGTGCGCCACCACCGCCCGGCCCTGGTTATTTTTTTTAAGTGACCTCAGTGGTAGGGTACTTTTCTGGCATGTACAGGTTCTACTACCACAAAAGATGTTTTTAATGACACAACTTTATGCAAATCAATGCTACAAACATATTTATAATCAATTGGTTTCATTATATAAGTTACGAAGATTCCCACTTCAATTATTTTGCTATATAGCAAATCCATTATTCATAAATGCTGCCAGTTCCTTTTAGGATAAATTATTGCAAATTCTGATTAATGAAATGTCCTTGCATTACTCTCAAGCCACTTTAAGGGTCCTTGTAAGGTGAGGGGTACTCTCAGAAAAATTGTTTGAGAGTAGAAAAGTGAAAATATATCTTGGTTTCTGAAAGCTTTTTGGCAATTCCCTGAGACCTAATAGAGTCCTGACAAGGTAATTGTCCTTTCTCTCACAGCATTAGGAGTTACACCCAAGCCATATTTCAACAAGTACAGATATCTCCAAAAGTGTGGAAATTGGCCTTGCAGGTTCAGCAAAATCAAGCAAGTATAATAATGTCAAATGCAATATGCCAATAATTTTACATCAGTACAGTAAATGCCCGAAAAGAGACACCACCTGGAGAGTCCCAGAAGTTGACAATTTGCAGATTAACATCTTCCTCCTCTCTACTCCAGAAGATAAAACACACAGTCCAGGCATAGTTGTGACTTGCTGCTCAACACTGCTAGGAAATCAAAACTAGGAATAATTCTCCTAGGTATAACTAAAGAGTGTATTGCATTATGCCAGATTTCTCACAGCTAAAACCAGAGCCCTACTCATTTGATGGTCACGAAGTAATCCAGGGGTTTTCTAATCTGTACTCCTGCAAATTAAGGGTAATGTTTCCAGTTTTATCCTTTTGACAAACATGATAAGAATTTGTGACACAAGAGAAGTATCTGAAATTATAATTCTGGTATCCATGAATAAGGTTACACCCACCACCACCTCCAGCTCCTTCTAGTACTCTCCACTCCATACCCCTCCCAGTTTTCTGTCTCCTTGACTCAGAATGGCCATCATCAGTAATACAAATAGTGGCATGCCTGTGGTGAAGGAGAAACATTTACAAACTTTGGGGAGAATGGAGACTAGTGTCGCTACTATAGATGCCAGTCTGGAGGTTTCTCAGAGAGCCAGAGATAAAACTATCATAGAACCTA